ATGTGCGATTAAATTGAACAAATAGATCGTCAATTTATTTGGGATGGTTCGCGAGAATATTCAAAAGCTCCTCTCATGAAGTGGGATACTTGTTTCCAACCCACTAAGCATGGAGGCCTCGAGATTTGCCCACTTTAATCGCAAAATGAGTCCTTCCTGATCAAGTTGGGTTACAATTTTCTGATACATTCGGATGCTTTGTGGGTCCAATTAAAGCGATCTAAGTATAAAGTCCAAGACCCTTTGTTGGTTCAACTCGATACAAAGAATGGCTCCTTTCTTTGGAAGTCGCTCTCAAGGGTTTGTGACTGTATCCAGGATAACGTCAGTTGGTTCATAGGGGACGGGAGAAAGACTAGTTTCTGATTTGACTCATGGCTGCAAGGTTTGCCTCCGCTTGCAAATCTCGTCAGCACTGACCGCTATCCTAGCTCTCATGCGGTGGTCCGTGACTTTGTCACCTCCATAGTAATAAATTAAGACCACAACACAGCGTAAGGCTTGTATCGTAATATTTTTTAAGGTGACCGCAACGTAGCGTAAGGCATGTATCGTAATATTTTTTAATGTTACCGCGACGCAATATCGGTGCAACGTGATAAGACAACTGCATCACGATTGTTGCGGTCAAAAATCGTTAAGTAACACCACAACACGCTATAAATTGCGCCGCAACGCTGCAATAAACTTTAAATTATCTGAAATATAAAATTACATAGATGAATTGTTCTAATTTAATTCTTAAAACTGGATTATAAATATATATCATTAATAATGTCATAATAGTTATGTTTAAAATTAGTTACTTAAATTTGAATTAATTAAATTATTTATTAACATTATTTTAAAATTAAATTAATTTAAATTTAAATTTTATCATATCTAAAATTAACATGATTAATTTTAAATTAAATTTTTATATTAACATTAAGTATCATAATTATATGTTTATTTATTATTATATAAATTCTGTATAAGAGATGAATTCACTTTATAATACTATAATAGTATATGTATTTTATCTATTTACTATGAAACTATAAAATTTTATCTAATCTATTTACTACAAAATTTTATCATACAACATGTTTCCTACAAATAATGCATCTTATGATGCACATAATGTAGTGTCTTTTTCACATGGAATATGAAGGAATCAAAATCAAGAAAATGACAAAGATATAAATGCTTTAAATCTGTTATGTCATTCATTTTGGTGGTTAACTATAAGATATAAAAAATTTATATTTGTAGTTATGTATTTTCTTTCTTTCTTTCTTTCTAAGTTATGTAAAATGAACATTTTTATGTTACAATATAAAAAATTTGATATAATTTTAGTAATATTGTTTATATGTTATTCATTAACATTATAATTGTTATTACACATTATCCAGTATGATAGCACTTCTATGTTTTATATTTGTTTTTAATAAATTTTTATCTATGAAATTAAATTTTTTATTTTTAAATTATAATATTAAAAAGAGTATATTAATATTAGTATATTAAAATATAATTGTAAATTGTATAAATATAATATTTTAGATGTATTGTGATTTTTGAGGAAGAGATCACGCCCGCGACAGCCGCAACACGTTATGTAACGTCCGCAACATTTGTAATTGCGAATCCGCAACCGCATCCATAACAAAATCTGCAATCGTAATTTGATATTATGGCTACCTCTAATGGAAACTGGAAGGTGACGCAGCTTAGAAAGTTTCTTGACGAGGAATGGATCCAATGGATCATTGGCACCCCTATACCGTGCGATGATGTTGGAGAAGACAAACCTATCTGGCACTGGGACCCTTCTGGAAACTGTCTGATCAAGTTCGCCTTCAACATCACCCAATAGAATGGTTGAGATATGCGGGATGTAGTTTGGAACGTGGCTTGGGATTTTCATGGCCCTCAAAGAATGAGACAATTCATTTGGCTCGTGCTAACGACATATAATGACCAATGTGGAACGCACAAGGAAAGACATTTCTTTCGGCCCTTGTTGCTTGGTTTATGGAACGGGGAAGAAACAATCTCTCACGTTCTAAGGGGCTGTCATCATGCTCGCATGATATTGTCTCAATTGGTCCCAAACTAGCTAGTTACATATAGTATTCTTTTCTTCTCATTTTTTGGATTGGTTGCAGTTTAGAAAAATGCAGGTCTAGATCATGCAGATTCTTATAATATCATAACGATGATTATCGACAAACAAATAAATACGATCGTAAAGAAAAAAATAAAGAACACCAAGATTTACGTAGAAAACTCAAAAGGAAAAAATTACGACAAGAGGAGAATAATTTCACTAATATGAAAGAAAAAAATACAAGATAGTTTTGGTGAAAGAAAAAAAAATTGATATTTAACACTAACCTTTAGTATCTATTTATAGGGATAGATATTTGATTATAAAAGAAAACTAAATAAAGTATAAATATATTTTAATAAAGTTTTCTACTTTTAATTAAATTGAGTTTCCTACTTTTCCAATATTTATATATTAATTAATTTGTGCAGTTTTGAATTTGAGTCAAACTCTAACAGATCTCCACCTTGAAACGAATTCTAAAAGTGCAAAGGTTTCGAGACAAAAACACCCAAATTCGATGTGACACCCAAACTCAACAAAAAAACAATTATTCACTTCAATGAACAAGTTCTCATCCTCTTCCACAACACCCCTCAAAGGGGTTATCTTCAGTAACGGACACCGATCAAGTTTAAGTTTTTCTAGGTTTGTATTTAGTCTTCACATCGGCATGATTATCATAAGTGTCAACTTTGCTCACAAATGTTTCACCACGAGCAATATCATGCACAACACAATCATTATGTTTTTCTTCATTCGTCCATTGTGTTACCGGCTTCTTATCAAATCCTTCTATTGCATCGTCGAGATCTAATTGTGCAAGAACATTTCGAATCTTCGCCTGTCATAACGAGAACCTGGTGTTTCGATCCAACAGCAGAATATCATACTTCATTGTTGCCATAATCTTGAACCCGAAGCTCTGATACCAGTTTGTTATAATATCAGAACGATGATTATCGGTAAACAAATAAACACGATCGAAAAGGAAAAAACAAATAATACCAGAATTTACGTAAAAACCCCAAAAGGAAAAACCACAGGCATAGGAGAAAAATTTCACTAATATGAAGGAAAAAATACAAGAGAATTTTGGTGAAAGAAAAGAACTTGATATCTAACTCTGACATTTATTATCTATTTATAGAGATAGATACTTGATTATAAAATAAAACTAAATAAAGTAGAAATATATTTTAATAAAGTTTTTTTACTTTTAGCCAAACTGGATTTCCTACTTTTCCAATATTTATATATTAACTAATTTATGTCACTTTGAATTCGAATCAAACTCTAACACAGGCTACCGTTGTAATCATTTCTTTGGTATACTCTTATGAAGGCTTTGGAAGAACCATAATAGTTTCATGTTCAATGGAAAAAACTGGTCAGCGATGGAGACTATCATTCAGTTAAGGCGTGTGCTGAAATCATTAAGAAACATCAGCAGCACCACTAGGGCTGTAAATGAATAGAGTCAAGCTCGAGTATTACTGAGTTTGACTTGACTTAAAAATTCTAAAATAGAGCTCAACTCGACTCAAAAACTCTTGAGCTTAAAATTTTCAAGTTCGACTTGAATTCAAAACCATGAATTGAAGATCATAAAAGCTCGAAAAAACTCGAAATGAAAAAAAATCTTAAACTTTACTCGATTGAAGTCTCAAACTCAAACTCGGATATAAACCTTAAATAAATAAAAATCTTATACTACATATTTTTTTAAAAAATTCAACTATTAATATTATTAATAATTTATTTTAAAATAAAATATTAGTATATTATATTTTCGAGTTCCTCGTGAGCTTTACAAGTAGGGTATCAAGTAACTCATTTCGGTTCATTAAGAATTCGAGCTCGAGCTTGAGTCGAGTATTTATCGAGTTTTAATTTAGTTGATCTTGAGTAGCTTACGGTCTGTCTCGTCCCATTTACAATCCTAAACCACACAGCTTGGAACTACGCAAGCAGCAGGGGAGCCCGTTGGAAACCACCTGATGAAGGCACCTTCAAGCTCAACACAGACGGAGTCGTAACTCCTTCAACGATGTTGGCATCCTGTAGAGGTGTTGTTCGGAATAGAAATGATGATTGGGTAACTGGCTACATCAAAAATATCAGTCGTTGTTCAGTCCTTCAGGCCGAGCTATGGGTTGTCCTAGATGGTCTTCAAATAGCATGAAATAGTGACATACAACGTTTGGAGGTAGAGCTGGACAATATAGAAGCTGTAACAAGCTTAAATTCTACTCCAAAGGCTCACGAGTCAGCTATAACCAGGAAAATCCGATCGTTCCTTAATCGACAATGGAGCATCAAGATAAGCCATATTTCTCGACATGCAAACAAACTAGCTAATTATCTAGCCAACCTGGGGCGTAAAGTGAGTCTGGGACTTTAGATCCTTCAGAAGCCGCGGCCACCTAATGACATACAAAACACCCTCACCTCTGACCAAACACCCGTGAGAAGAAGATATAATCGCTGATATTTCAGTGCTTCCATTTGCAACCAAAAAAATACAAACGTTATCCACTATTGTGATATAAAAACATATCAAAAGATGGAGGAAAGTATGTCATCAAAGCAGAGTTATTAGAAATAGAAAAAAAAAGAAAAAATGTGATATAAAAAAATAAATAAATACCGGTCGTCGACTATCAAAATCAAAGATGGTGCCACCTCCAACAAATATAAAAATAAATAAACGGCTTAAAAGTTGAGAAAAAATATGATTAAATGCATATCATCTTCGATAAATATCTTTGTTAACTATTTTCATGAAATTGTGAGTCTCGTTCATTGATCATCTTATCCTATATATGTATGAACGTTCCTAGTCAAAGGGTCCTCTTGTACCAAATGATTTATTAATCAGCCAAAGGGAAAAAGTTTACACCATTTATAATACATAAACCGAGGCCTCAGATGAGGCCTCATTGCTGATATTTAAAGAACTGAACGACTTGATTGTACACAATGTCCTTGGCATTTATACCCATAATGAAATCCGCATGTGCATAATCCTTGACGTACTGAACCGACAGCTTGTTCACATCATGGAACTTGAGATGATCCAGCAACAGCTCCACATCTTCAACATCAGACAGAGCGTCTTGCCCTCCATAGCTAACGAATATCGGAAGGTCTCGTGGGATGTTCGATATGTTGTAAACCGGCGGCCTGTCTTCTCCGTAATGCATCAGGTTATAGTCCGGCCTCCCGTAGTCGAATTTCTTGATGATCCCGTCTCGGACTGCTGCAAAATCATGAAACAAACTTAAACACGCATGGTTTTTGGTTTCTCTAAAACAAGAGTTGGGATTCTTTCTTCATGGACTTACTCTGAGCTAAGTGCACCATGTTTTTGCTTGCTGTTGACTGCGGCTCATTCTTCAAGAAAAGATCAACCGTGGAAGTGTTGAGGCAGCAATTTTTACCTTGAATTACAAGTAACAAAACCCAATTACAACTCGAATGCACCTTGAATTACAAGTAACAAACTCAATTACGACTCGAACTATACATTCGACGGTTGTAGTCTATACCAGCAGTAAGATTGATGCAGTACCTGTAATTGCAGATACAAGATCGTAGCAGTCAACTCCTGGATAATCACACAAAGCTTTGAGAAAGACTGATGCCTCTTGTCTGTCAATACACATGTATAGAAACCATTAGATGATTACATTTCTAATATGCGAAGTTCATCCTTTAAACGTAACAATGATTTTGCTCACCCTTTTGGGTTGAATTCTGCTATTCCAAACATTGTAGTGATCTGTTGGAAAAACCATTTGGACACTTTAAGCTATTAACATTCCTTTTGTTAAAGATGAAGTGTTTTCCACACATACCTCACCAACAAAGGCTCTTGCAGCAAGCACACCGAGTGCAGTCTTCATATGGCTTAAGTATGCAATTGGACTTAAAAAGGCTGCAGATTTCAGCTTGTCTGCCTGATGTCCCTCTGAGAATGATGCCAAACCTATAAGAGTTCCCTGTCAACCACAATGCACATGAAAACAGATTAACAATGTCCTCCGTATGAGCCGAGTTAGTTCGATTAATCCGGGTCTTACCAGGGAATGGCCTATGTAATGAATCTTCTGGCCGGTGTGGTTGAACACAAAGTCGAAAACAGCGGGTAGATCATAAGTCACCAGTTCATCCCATGACCAGTCCCAGAATTCCTGCCATTTTTGTTTCGGTTTTAACAATCTGTAAATCAGTCGGTCATGATGCATCAACAGACAAAACATGTGTGATAGGGAGGAAAAGAACCGGGTGGGCAGGGTCAAGGGAAACATGCTGCCTGCAGAATCTAGTGCCTCTGGTGTTTGCAATCCAGACATCAAAGCCTTTATCAGCCAAAATCATGGGCAGGTTTTGTTCAGGTGAATTCAGGAGCCACGTCATCCCATCCTGAAACCAAAAGTATCAGTTGCATGAAATCAGGCCACGTAATGAGTCCAAACTTTTTTCAGAAACTTTGGGTCGCCTGAAACGGTGCGTTATGTTGTCTAGTAGTATTTAGCCCATCTCTTGGGTCTCGTGAAGCACAATATATAACAAACGGGGACAAATTATTATACCTTGGAAATCAACATGCCACACTTGTAATCGGCAATCGGTTCTATTTTCTTTTAATAATCGCTATCTTATTTATTAATGAATTATTTCGAATTAAATTTTATTAATATTTATTATGGAAATATCATTTTAATTAAGTTTACTTTATTTGTAAAGATTAGAATTCGAACTCTTAAATAGTTTGAGTTATATTTGTTCAAAAAAATAGTTTGAATTATATCAACTTAAACATGCTAATTAATAGTTTGAATTATGTTCCAAAATGGTGAAGATGAACTCACCACAAGTACACCATGCTGTATCAGCACAGGCTGCTTCTTGTTTCCGCCGCCACTCCCACCCACACGTCCCTCTGGGATTCTTTGCATGTTCAAGATATATCCATCCTGGGTTTTCACCTGGAAAAAAAAAATAACCCATTTTCCATTAGCCTCCACTCTGTTTAAATCCCATGTCATTTCAATTAATTTGATGCTCTTACTTCGTACTCCTGACACTCGTAACCATGGGTAGTCACCGACGTGGCACATATCCCATTGATTACTGGAGCGGCTGCACCATCGATTCCGCCTAACGAACCACGGCTCGAGCCATATGCTCCAAGGGGTTCGACCACCAAGACCAGGAAACATAAGCCCAAGCCAACTAAACCTGCTGGGGACGCCATAATTTGCATTCTGTGTATGAAAGATGTATATATATGGAGATTGAGAGCAATGGATTTATATATATAGAGAGAGAGGGAGACACAGAAGAAGATGATAAAACTTAAAAGCAATGAGAAAAGGATTTAAGTTTCTTTCTTGCTTTGGTTCAATCAATGCTGATTACTGACAACAAAAAGGTTTTGATTGCATAAGATAAGCGTGGCTTTCCACATTTGTATATATTTCCAGAATTCTAGTGAGGACAAATGGAAAACTGTGGGGCCCAACGATTTTGCGGTGTTTATTTATTATTTTATAAATATAATAATAAATCTAGCTTTTAATATCTATATTTATCAATTTCATCGTCATTTTTAAATTATTTATCAATCTTATTCCTTAAATTAAATTTAACTTTTAACATTTAAAGAGTTAAATTATTTTACAATAAAAATATTAATTAAAATATTAAAGTTTTAACGATATTAACATGAAAACCCATATAATAATAAATTTGTGTTGTTATAATAGCACGATATCATTTATTTTTTATGCTCAATACACTTTCTGCCCCTCTACTGTTTATATATTTTTCTAACTGGGTATTTAATGTCTTTTTTTAACAATAAGGTCTTCTAACTTTTATAAAAATATTTTTTTTAAACTCTTTTAAATCTGTTCTAGATGTTACAATCAAATCTTGAAGATCAAATTAACGAAAATTCGTCAAATTATAACATCTTAAAATAAAATTTCATAAATTCATAAAATGATGCATGTCAAAAAAAAATTCAATATCTCATATAAAAAAATTTCTCCAAATATATATTTTTTTGACTTGGTATTTAATGATTTTTTTTAATAATGAGGTCTTCTAATTTTTATAAAAGTAATATTTGTGTTTACTCTTAAATCTAGTTTAGACGTTATGATCGAATGTTGAAGATCACACTGACGAAAATTTGTCAAATCATAAGATATTAAAATAAAATTCTATAAATTCATAAAATGATGCATGTCAAAATAAAGTTCAATATCTCATATAAAAAATATTTCCAAATATATATTTTTCTAACTTGATATTTAACAATCTTTTTAATAATGTCAACACACATTTTTTGTCCTACTAGGATTCAAACTCCTAAAAATAGGATAAAATTTTGCTAGGATTCAAACTCCTAAAAATAGGATAGAGTTCTACTATTATTTAAATTCCTAAAGATAGGATTCACAAGCACTATAAATAGCCATTGTAACTCACCATTTGAGGAGGATTTACACACAAAACACATAGGAAAGCACGGAAAATACAAAGGCAAAGTTGTTGTAAACGATTCGAAAAGGAAATAAAAGGTAGCATCTTTTTTTACATTGGTTCGTTCATTTCTCGCATGTGCATGTTATTTTTCTTGAGATTTGGTTCGAATAACCCAAAACGTGGGTTGCGCCGATGACTAAAAAAGGGTGGGATTTCGAAGTTTCGAACCTAGATCCACCCCCGAGGCGTGTTCATTTTTTTAAAATATTTAATTCTCCCCCCTAAATCATTTTTTTCATACTTTATTATTCTTGTTATATATGCATATTACTTTCTATTAATTTTATTATATATGTATATATGTTTTTTTATTAGTGTTATTATATATATATATATATATTTATATATTTCCTATTTTGCATATATATATACGTATATTACTTTTGATTTTCTTTTTTTTATTATTATTATTTTACTTATATATATATGCTTTTACTTTTTTATATATTTTACTCATTTATTTATCTATTTTTATATTTATCCTATATTTTATGTTTTTATATTCTTTTACTTGTTTTATTTATTTATTTGCATTATCATTTTATTTTTATTTAGTTGTTTGTTGTGCATATATTAGTGTTATTGTTTTTTATTTTATATATTCTATTCATTTTATATTTACTTTATTTCTTACTTAATCTCCTTATTTTATTTGTTTTACTTTATTTATCATTTATTCATCTCTTCTAACCCATATTTTGACTTTTAAATTGTATATTTGTAAATCCGTCAAAGGTAAGTAATTTTGGATCATTATTTTATCTTTTAATTTAACTTGTTATTTTTCTTAATTAAGACAACTGGAAATTACGTAGTACCGAAAGGGCGGTTCAAGGTTGCTAATCCTTCCTTGACCGTAACCGACTCCCGAGCCCGACATATTTCTGGTAAGACGCAGATCAGGTAAGAAATAGGGTATCCGATCAACCCATTTATCTTTAAATAAATGATCGGTGGCGACTCCAATCCACATTTTTCAAGTCGAAGCCCAATTCCGGGGCCCAACCGAAAGACGGTTGCGACAAATAATAAGGTTTTCTAATTTTTATAAAAGTTATATTTGTTTTTAACTCTTAAATTTGGTCTAGAACTTACGATCGAATCTTGAAGATCACACTGACGAAAATTCATCAAATCATAACATCTTAAAATAAAATTACATAGATTCATAAAATGTTGCATGTCAAAATAAAGTTCAATATCTCATATATAAAATATCTCCAAAAGTTCGGTAATAATCATATTGTGTGGGATGAAAAATGTCGTTAGTCAATTCTCCAAGTACCATGAAGGTCCAAACGGTCAAGAGAATATGAAAATAAGAAAATTAAAGGGCAAACTATAGAGTTCAGTGTGTCCTCTAAGTGTAGGTTAAACAATATAAAGTATAACGTGCATTCAGTTCACTGTAAACAATAATTTAGACATAAAATTCTCGTACAATATCAAACATGATACAAATGCAATGCAATCCACTGTCTTATCTACACCACCATACAATTACTCGATGATTGGACATTACCATCTTAAGAAGGATATATGCATCAGCCTATAATATGGTTATTGAACTTTATCATCCAATGAAGATGCACCAACCTGTTATTCGATTATTGAAATTATCATCTGATAAGGATACACCAACTTGTTATTAAATTAGTGAAATTATCATCCAATAAGGATGCACCATCTTGTAATTCAGTTATTATTCCACTTCAAAAACCCAACCCAATGCAATATACATGATGAGTGTCATTACAATAGACATTGTGTAACACCCTAAATTATCCTCAAATTAAAAACCCTAAAAACTAAGGATGTTTTTCTTAAATACCTAAAACAGTTTCAGTGGCCAATTCATAAGAAAGACAAAAATCAGAGTCTGTTTTGAAAACGCTAGAGACTTCACGAACTAAACCTATAGTTTCCCTATTTTTAATAATAACATAATCTCACTTTAAAAAACCCATCACTGTTTCACTCTTTTCTTCTTTTGTGTTTTGCTTCAAGCTCATTGTCGCTTGCTCATTTCTCCTCATTAGTTGTTTCTCATCGAGGCAAGGTCAATAAGGTAGTCGTCTAGCCTAGCATTCTTCTCCCTTCGTGTGGTCAACAGTCAACACTGCTCTTTTCGATAGGGAGATATTAAGAAACTACCACTATTCTCAGCCATCCATGGCTATCGTGGAATTCGGTTAGCTGCACACTCGTCGAGGAAGGCCTAATCAGCCTGGTTCATGGTTGGACACCCCCTGGTAGGCCGTGAGAGTTCACTACCGTCTGCCTTTTCGTCGTTTCTCTTATCGGGCCGTTGTGTGGTCATCGTCACCGATCATGGCTAGGACCACTGCTTCCCTTACCGACTGATTGTCACAAAATAATTACATCGATAAAGTACTTAAAAGGTTTGATATGCAAAATAATAAACCGACTGACACCCCTATCGTTAAAGGAGACAAATTTAATCTTACTCAATGTCTTAAAATTGACATTGAAATTCAATAAATGAAAAAGATTCATACACATCAGTCATTGGGAGTCTAAAGTATACTAAAGTATGTTCGTGTCCAGATATTGCGTACAATGTTGGGATATTAGGCAGATACTCAAGCAACCCTAGTATGAACTATTGGATAGCAACCAAGAAGGTTATGAGATATTTTCGGAGAACAAAAGATTACATACCGACTTATAGGAGATTAGATCATTTGGAGGTCATCGAGTATTCTGATTCTAATTTCGATGGATGCCAAGATAGTACAAAACCTACTTCAGGCTATATTTACATGCTAGCTGAATGAGTTATATACTGGAAAAGTGCCAAACAAATAACTGTAGCTTCTTCCACTATGACAACAGACTTTGTAGCATGATATGAGGCATCAAACCAAGGAATATGGTTGCAGAACTTTATCACTGAGCTGCATATTTCGGAGAATGTTGAAAGACCGTTTAAACTATTTTGTGACAATAAGTCGACAATTCTATATTAAAAAAAAGTGAGTTCGTCTAAGTCAAAGCATTTTGACAAAAAGTTCCTAGTTGTGAATCCATTGATCACATTGGAACAAACTCCATGATAGCGGATCTGCTCACAAAAGGTTTAGCACCTAAGGTCTTTCATGATCACCCTGCTCATATGGGGGTTATATCACTTAATGATATCATTGTTTGAGTGGAGTTTTGTTTGCTTATGTTTGTTTTCAGACATTTATGTATTTGGTTATTTTCTGATCAGAAATAAAGTATTCGATTTATTCACTCTCTTTTATTGTTTAGAGACTGACCTCACTTATGTTTAAAGAAGACCAGTTGGAAATAGACATGCAATTCACATTGCATGTAATTTTTATGCTACGCTCCATGATTGATCTATGTCATTTGACTATGTTTGTATACGTGATCATTGATGGGTCTAGTCATGGTAGATAAGACAAATGCCGCTTTGATCCTATATGAATATAGTTGATAAACGAGATTGCTATAGAATACCTTTTACATGATAACAAATTTTGAGCTCATAAAGTTATACATTTATCATGAAACATATGTTGCCCAAGTGGGTGATTGTTGGATTAAAATCCATAATTATGGGCACATATGGTGCAGAGTTATAAGTACAAACAATAAATGATTCAATCAACTATATAAAGGAGTTATGATCCCTAAGAAATAGATATTTCATATTTTCTTTTATCCCATCGGAGAGTTTATACTAAAGAGGTTTCTATCTTCTTG